ATATCTAGGATCTATAAAGAGCTCAAAACTCAACAACAACAAAACTGACAATGACAATCCAGTTAAGAAAATGGGCAAGGGGCCTGGGCTGTGGTATAGTGGGTTAACCTGCTGCCTGCAGTGCTGGCATCCCATATGTGCACTGGTTAGAGTCCTGGCTACTCTGCTTTCGATCCAGCTCCCTGCTAATGTGCCTGGAGAAGCAATGGAAGATGGCCCAATTGCCTGGATAGGGTCCTACAACCATGTGGGAGAGAGACCTTGATGAAACTTCTGGCTTTGGACTGACCCAGCCCTGGCCGTTGTGGCCATATGAGTGAACTGGTGGATGAAGACTTCTCTCTGCTTATACCTCTCCCTCTCTATAACTCCACATTTCAAATAATGTCTTGAAAAAAATGGACAAAAGACATGAACAGTCATTTTTCAAAGGTTGAAATACAAATGTTCAAGATCACTATCAGCAAAATGCAAATAAAAACTATAAGGTTTCACTTCATTCCAGTTAGAATGGTTATCATCCAAAAATCAAAATATAACTTATGATGTTGAGGATACGGAGAAAAAGGTACTCTAATACATTGTTGGTGGGAATATAAACTAGTACAACCGTATGGGAATTTATCCAAACGAAATAAACATATTGTTGCTGTGGATTTGTTCTGAGAGGAGAAGCGCAGTGGGGGCAGGAGGCGCGGAGCCACCACACAGACCCCGGGAGCCGGGTGAAAGCAGGCCAGAGGCAAGCAGCCTGCAGACTCCTTTGTTTCAGTCGGTACAGCAGCTTAAATAGCCAAGGCAGCCAATTCGGTCAAGGGGTGGTCTATGCTCTTACCAATCACAGCCTGTTGCCGGGCAATTTCCATTGCCAGTGGCCATCTTGGCATGGCCTTCTCATTCCATCACAACATATGAAAGTTATCTGTACCCCCATGTTCATAACAGCTCAATTCACAATAGCTAAGATATGGAATCATCCCAGACGTACATTAACTGATGACTGGAAAAAGAAAATATGGCATATGGAATATTACTTAGCCATAAAAATGAAATCCTGTCTTTTGCAACAAAATGTATGCAAATGAAAACCATTATGCTTAGTGAAATAAGCCAGTCCCAAAAAAGACAAATATGTTTTCTGTTATATAATTAATATAGAATTTAAAAAAATGTATAGGAACAAAACATTTGAGATTTTTTTTTTTTTTTTTTGACAGGCAGAGTGGACAGTGAGAGAGAGACAGAGAGAAAGGTCTTCCTTTTGCCGTTGGTTCACCCTCCAATGGCCGCCGCGGCCGGCACACGGCGCTGATCCGATGGCAGGAGCCAGGAGCCAGGTGCTTTTCCTGGTCTCCCATGGGGTGCAGGGCCCAAGCACCTGGGCCATCCTCCCCTGCACTCCCTGGCCACAGCAGAGAGCTGGCCTGGAAGAGGGGCAACCGGGACAGAATCCGGCGCCCCAACCGGGACTAGAACCTGGTGTGCCGGCGCCGCTAGGCGGAGGATTAGCCTATTGAGCTGCGGCGCCGGCCCAGATTTCATTGTTTTTTTAGCCCTTGTTTATACTCTTGTGGAACTGTGGTCTTTTTTTTTTTTTTTTTTTTACTTCTTGAATATTACGGTTACTGGTGTCTTAAGCCTGTGATTGTGGAATGGACTGAAAATTGTGGTTTTCCAAAAATTTTAAAAAAAGGAATGAGGAAGGGTGAAGGAGGGAGGGAAGTACAATTGTCTTTTAGGAAATTGTACCTATGAAATGCATGAGGTCTGTGCTCTTTATATTAATAAAAAGTCTGAGTATAGAATCTAGTTGTGATTCACTCTCATGTGTCTCCAACGAAAACTATTCAAAAATATTAGTGTATAAAACATTGGAGGCCGGCGCCGCGGCTCACTAGGCTAATCCTCCACCTAGCGGTGCCGGCGCACTGGGTTCTAGTCCTGGTCGGGGCACCAGATTCTGTCTCGGGTTGCCCCTCTTCCAGGCCAGCTCTCTGCTGTGGCCAGGGAGTGCAGTGGAGGATGGCCCAAGTGCTTGGGCCCTGCACCCCATGGGAGACCAGAAGTACCTGGCTCCTGCCATCGGATCAGCGCGGTGTGCCGGCCGCAGCGCGCCGGCCGTGGCGGCCATTGGAGGGTGAACCAACGGCAAAGGAAGACCTTTCTCTGTCTCTCTCACTGTCCACTCTGCCTGTCAAAAAACAAAACAAAACAAAACAAAACATTGGGATGGGGGCCGGCACTGTGGCGTAGCGGGTAAAGCCACCCCCTGCAGTGCTGGCATCCCATATGAGCGCCAGTCTTGGCTGCTCCACTTCCGATCCAACTCTCTGCTATGGCCTGGGAATGCAGTAGAAGATGGCCCAAGTCCTTGGGCCCCTGCACCTGCGTGGGAGACCTGGAAGAAGATCCTGGCTCCTGGCTTCGGATTGGCGCAGCTCCAGCCATTGCAGCCAATTGGGGAGTGAACCAGCAGATGGAAGATATCTGTCTCCCTCTCTCTCCTCTCCCTATGTAACTCTTGACTTTCAAATAAAATAATTTTTTAAAAATAAAACATTGGGATGGGTGTTGTAGTGCAGCGGGTTAAGCTGTCACTTGGGATGCCTTCCTCAGCATACCTGGGGCCAAGTCTCGTCTCCACTTCCAATTTAGCTTCCTGCTAACGTGTAGCCTGGGAGGTATTAGATGGTGCCTCAAGTATTTGGGTCCCTGCCAATCACATCATGGGAGGTACAGATGGAGTTACTGGTTCCTGGTTTCAGCCTGGTCCAGCCCTGGTGTGGCGGGCATTTGAAGAGTGAACCAGCAAATGGAAGCTCTCTCTCCCTGCTTTTCAAATAGGCAAAAATAATGGAAAGCTGGACAAGACGACAGGCTGTGAAAGGAACAAAGAAGCGCCTTAGTGCTCAGAACCACATATTGCTGGAAGGTACAAATTAATGCAAGTAAGCAGTGTTTTTTTTTTTTTTTTTTTTTTTTTTTAAGATTTATTTATTTATTTGAAAGTTTGAGTTACATAGAGAAGGAGAGGCAGAGAGAGAGAGGTCTTTCATCTGCTGGCTCACTCCCCAATTGGCTACAACAGCTGGAGCTGCACCGATCCAAAGCCAGGAGCCAGGAGCTAACTCCAGGTCTTCCCACGCAGGTGCAGGGACCCAAGGACTTGGGACATCTTCTACTGCATTCCCAGGCCATAGCAGAGAGATGGACTGGAAGTGGAGCAGCCGGGACTTGAACTGGCACCCATGTGGGATGCCAGCACTGCAAGCAGCAGATTTACCTGCTAGGACACAGCATTGACTTCAAGTAAGCAGCTTTTAAAACAATCTGGGCCGGCACCGCGGCTCAATAGGCTAATCCTCCGCCTAGTGGTGCTGGCACTCCAGGTTCTAGTCCCGGTCAGGGCACCAGATTCTGTCCCAATTGCCCCTCTTCCAGGCCAGCTCTCTGCTGTGGCCAAGGAGTGCAGTGGAGGATGGCCCAAATGCTTGGGCCCTGCACCCCATGGGAGACCAGGAGAAGCACCTGGCTCCTGGCTCCTGCCTTCGGATAGGCATAGTGTGCCGGCCATAGCACGCCAGCCGTGGCGGCCATTGGAGGGTGAACCAATGGCAAAAGGAAGACCTTTCTCTCTCTCTCTCTCTCACTGTCCACTCTGCCTGTAAAAAAAAAAAAAAAAAAAAAAAAAAAAAAAAAAAAAAACAACACACACAAAAAACAAACAAAAAAACAATCTGAAGGATCTCTGCCCAGTCCCTTTAAAGGTACTGCATCAATGCAAACACTACACTAACAGGTTGGTCCCTAACGGCCAGTAATTCTTACTCAAATCTTTAACTTACCAGGCATAATCTCAAAGATTTGTACACATATTTTGAAAAGAAGCATTCTTAGGTAGAAAATAGCAGGAGTTTAAATTCAACTGCTATATAACTTAAGAAATGGACAATTTTATGCATTATTCTCCATATGTTGTCATTTTCAAAGGAAGAGAAATGGATGGATGAATTTCTTTTAGTGTGGCCATTTCACTAGTGCTGTGAGCATCTGCTTGTGGATTCAAAGTACAATTTTGGAATTACAGACCAAGTGAAATAAGTCCAAATGTTTCCCCCAAATTAAGAAATAGTAAAACTCTATTTTTCTTTATGAATTGTGTCCTACACTTTACAACTAAAGCACAGGAAATGAAGTATTCCAATTTATTTAAAAAATTCAATTCCTAAGAGATATAAGGCAGGCACTTGGCAATGCTTTAAAGAAGAAAAGTGTTTCTTCAAGCTGTTTGGGTTTTTTAAACATTGGTTACATAGCAAAAAGTTGATCTTATATTTGTAAAGTTATGAAAATAAAGATGGGACTTCTGCTTAAGTGAAATAGAAATTGCCTTGTCAGACCTCCATTACCATACATTAACAATTTCAAATACAACTTCAGTTTGACTTCAGGGATGGATACCACAGTTAAAGTCACCTTGAGGGACTGGTATTTTAACATACTGGGTTTAGCAGCCACCTGAAATGCTGGCATCCCACATGGGCACCAGTTTGTGTCCCAGATGCTCCACTTCTGATCCAGCTCCCTACTAATGCCCTGGGGAAGACAGAAGAAGATGGTCTAAGTGCTTGTGCCCTTGCTACCCATGTGGGAGACAAGGATGGAACTCTTGGCTTCGGCCTGGCCCAGCCCTGGTCATTGTAGCCATCTGAGAAGTGAACTAGTGGCTGGAATATCTCTCTATTTCTGTGTGTGTGTATCTTCCTTTCTCTTTGTAACTCTGACTTCCAAGATTTTTTTGTTTTTTAATTGATCCACAACTATTATAAATATTAATCACTGTTAGACTACAAAAGCCCATGCCTCAATCTCCCTAGGATTCTTGACAAAATATAACATATATAACAAAATATAACATATAAGAAGAGGGTGAAATACCTACCCTGGATTAGCAGAATCCACCAATATCTAGGAAAAGGAAATTACACTGAACACAAAGCTACTTCACAGCAAGATTTATTAATACATCCAAAAGAAAGAAAGAAAAATCATTTTGTCACACTATATACAGATAATACATACAGAGTTTTATACACATATTACATCAGTTTTTACACAAGAAAAATATACATAAAAATGTAAACTTTTGTATACAAAAACCCTTAAACAAATTAAACAAGGACCAGATAACAAAAGGAGACCAATCCATTATTATTCATCAAATTTTTAAAACAGTAATACAGTACATTCATTGAGATATAGATGGAAAATGTGAGCCGTCTCTTCTTGTTTAAAGGGAAATTACAAACGAAAAGCCCATCACCTCCCAAGAAGTGGTCCCCCCAAGCAACACCGCACCCAATGCCATGGATAGGCCCTTCCACCAGAACTGGGGGCTCCTATCAAGACCTGCCCAACTCCTCCTCACCCTCTCCCGTCTGCAGAAACAAGTGGCTCCTGGTTTTTGTGCATATATCTAAGCTTGCAGCCACTATTAAATAGAGAAATGAAGATGCTCAGTTTGTAAGTTCCCTTTAAGCAGCTTTTTTTTTAAATATATATATAGATAGATAGATAGATAGATTTAATGTATGGCCTGTTAAGCTTACGTGTGCCAAGGTGAATGAGAACACTGAAAAAAGAAAGGCTTTGAGAACTGCTAGTCCTTGCTACCATGCAGTTACTTTTTTAGAAGCGACTTGAAAACTGTCCAACCTGTCTGTCATTTACTGGTTTCAAATAAGCTACCTCACCTTTGATTTCCCACTGCAACTTGGTGTTAACTTACACGTCAGCCCTCCAGTTAGTACCATACAAGAGTCAGGAGGCGTTTTGTTAAAGGCTGCTTCTGATATCAAGTACCAGCTCGGGTGCTCTGTGAAATCATTCAGACCCCAACCTCTGTAATTTAGTCTTCTGGGGTACTCGTACTCCACTAGTTTTTGTAACATCTTGGAATTTAGGACCATCTATCTATCCTTCTCTCTCTGCAAGGTCTTGAGATGGAATCTGCTGCCAAATCATCACAAATAAAATGATATCTAATGTTTTTTTCCCTTCATGTTCTTGCACTCAGTGTGTTACACTGATACACTAATGAAAAATACTAGAAGCTGTGAGGAATAAGAATTAAATCTCTGTCAAGTACACGCAACTTGGAGTAATTTCAAAAAAGAAAAAAATAAACAGTTTGGGAAGACCTTTAACCAAATAAATGCAAAATGTGCTTAAGACAGTTTAAAGAGAGAGCTGTCTTTTTTCAAAGTTGAATTTTGAACAAGGCAGAATAACAATTAGGTGATATATTTCCCTGCAGCAAGAGAGTAGTTAACTTCCCCCCAGGCAAAATGATCTTAATGATCATTATTTATTAATGAAAGGAAGAGGCAAATTGGTGAATTAAGTTGATCTAGGAGATGGTGGATGATACACACTAATGGAAATATTAGGATCACTTTATGACTGAAGTAAACAGGCTGGTTCCCGGTACATCTCCATGTCAAAAAGAGGAAAAATGCACAGAGTTCCTTAAGTGAACTTTGTCTCTCATGGGAGAGATGGCATTTTAAAAAGTCTCCCTTTCAGTCAAAAATACATAACAAAAAAGGAAAAGGAAGATAAATAAATAATGTGTGGGTGTCTTCAGATGAGACTTTTAAATGTTCTTAAATAATTTCTGATAATGTATTTTAAGTCATTACATACAACTGCCATTGCAGTGACAATATTCCAGTAGGGGCAGCATTTTGCTAAATGTAAAAGATTGCCATTTAAAACTCATCCATATACATGTGTATATACAGCCATATCAACACTATTTATATACATATATATCCAGAGAGCAACACTGCATTGCCTCTGAGTATCTATATATCCACTCCCACAATATATGAGACATACTGTGTGAGTATATACCAAAGTATATGTACACATGCCCCAACATGTATATATACACTTTTGTCTGTGTGTGCATAAGAGCTTTAAAGGCACAATATATAGGGATGCAAGTTTTCTAGAGAGCTGCAGCAAAGTTAAAACAGAATGTCACAACTGTGAGAAAAGTCAAAAGGAAATAGAGCAGAAGTCATTACACAAGAATTCATCAAAGCAGTTTCATCATGAGAAAAATGAATTAGTTCCAGAATTCACGAGGCTTACCTATGATTTTGTATGCTTTTCTTAAAATCAGAGGTAAAATTCTAACTAAACCACAAAGTAAATCAAACTTTAAATGACAGTTAAGTATGAAAATAAACCTGGCACTAATATCCATCATAAAGTCCTAATTGTATTCTTTTTCAGCTTTGGTCAAATATCCCAAAATCATCCAGGTAAAACTTTCAAACAGGTTTTGTTTGGATGTTGGCTTTTTGTTTGTTTTTTTGAGACAAAGATGACTACTCAGTTCACTAGATTCTTATAGGAAACATGACTACAACTTAACATCTTCAGGGAACATTTCAGAGATAAAGATCTTTGAAAGAAAACAACCAAGAAATAATGAAATGTGCTTAAGCCAAGCGCTTCTAGCTAGAAAGGACATAACTTGGGAGGGGGACAATTTATTTTTTAACTGAGATGGACCAGAACAATGCAGTGAAGATGGAACGTAGAACTGAAGTGAGAGGAGTTAGAAGAGGTTCATTTAGGATAACCAGCAACAAGACTATAACCCACAGGACTTCCATTTTAGTATGCTCCGATGACGTGTTTATACCATCACCTCTGTCTTACAGAATAATCCAGAGTTTGACAAAGTCTGTTTACCTATTATACACACACATTTTTTAGGGAAATATATGTATATAGCTTTATCTATACACACACATATACATACGTGTATATATAGATTTATACAAATGTATAAATAAACATAATACTTTTCAATCTTTCCATTGACAAGGCAAGTTCACATTCAGCAAAGTGCCACCACATCCCATACACACATCTCTGTACAGATATACACAAAAGGGTCTGTTTTCACCCTTCAATCAGGGAGAATTTATTCTAGCAAATCCCATTAACCAGCAACTGAAGGGAGAAATGGCACCAGTACAAACTCCCTTCTTTCATTTGCATGCATATGTACAAGAAATATGCAGATTTTTCTAAAATCCAAAAGCAAGAGTAATGAAAGTGGAGATGCTACAAAAACACAAGTGTAAAAAAGAGCAACATATAAAGCTTTCCAAGATCCTGAACATATCTAAGATGAAGTAAATGGAGCTTCAAAAGACAACTACAAACTCAGCTGTACTATCAGAAGTTGTTTTGACATATTCCAAGTACTTGATTTTAATATTAAAAATAAATGTGATTGGAGCATTTAATAACAACTCTAGTTTTCACTGTTTGAGACAACCAGATATCCCAGTAATGAATGTATAGCAAAGTGACACTTAAAATACAGGAATGCATTTTTAAAAATTCCACATGAATTAGGTAAAAGTCAAGGGTAGCATACTTTTTCCTATAGCCAAAGTATGGGGGTGGGGCAAATTACAACACAAATGAGTAAATTAAAAAAAAAAAAAAACATTTTGGAAGTAATTAAAATCACCTGTTTTGAAATATGCACAGTGAAATGATCCCACCAACTCCTTAAACAAAGCAGCCCCTTCAAAGAATTCTTTATAAAAGTCCTAGACTCCTTCTAACTTTACCAAGAAAAGACAATTGACAACATTTTATTACTCAGAATATGAAGAAATCTATTACTAACATAAAAAAGTTTAATAGGTCTCTGGTCCCATCACCCCAACAGATAAACACAGCTCCTGTCTGAGTCCTCTCCCTCCCCCCACCCCTTTCTCTCTCTTTACCCCTCTTATTTTTATGCTCAAAATGAGAGGCTGGTCTTAGAATCTACTGTTTCTCACCATCAATTTAAAAACATAGCATAAATTAATCCAAAGGTTAAAATAAAATGCACATGATATCAGAGCTAGCCTTTTAACATAAGAATTTGGTGTATTTATACAACAGAGACAATGAGAAAGTAACTCTAATACCCTCAACTAAATAAATCATATTTCTACAATACATTTGGTTACCATTCTCTATTTTTACATAAGCACACATTCATAACTCTCACACACGTGCCCCCGATGTATATTTTTGCATGTGTGTAAAAACACAGACATATACATGCACACAAGTTATTTAATTAATTCTATTTTTAAGTCACAGTGGGAATTCCTTAGTGAGGAGGGATAAAAATTTCCTGAATAAGACACTGAGAACATCTAGATTTATCGTTTTCTCTATTTTACTTCCCAACTTACAGGATGAACTGTAAATTAAAAAATAAATCCATAGGAAATAAAAGAGGTCTTAAAAACTTAGTTTACAAATTCCAGCTACAGTAGTTGGAGTTTTCTTGATCTATGTATTTTTACTTACCCTGTAACTAAGCTTTTAGTCATCTTAAGTGTAAACCACAGATCATTTACTAAAGAACATGATTCTCAACAGTTGTATGAGCAATAAATGGTCTAAAGGTGTTCTACATTTTGAGGCCCCAGGATATCCTTTCAGTTTATATATCTGCAAGGTAGCAAAGGATAGCTATACACCTTGACACGGCAGAGATCCAGTGTAAAAAGGTGCTTCACTAGTTTGTTTTGTCAAAACAAAAACAAAAACAAAACAAAACAAAAAAAAAGAAGCTCTTATATAACTTTTTAGCTATTAAACACATAGGCAACATAATTCATTACACTCAATACAGCTTTAGTATAAAACTTATAATTTATGAGGTGATGTTAATAGCATAAATTAATATACCTTTTTCTCTTAAAATCTACAATAAGTATTCTGAAAGCTCATTGGGGAAGGAAATTTTTAAATAAAAGTTTTAAAGCTGTGCATGATGGGAAAGGATTCTGTACGCTGAAGCTGAGATGAGAGCCTGAAGGAGAAAGGAAAAAGTCCTATGCAAGACACTGTGGGCAATGAAACCAAATGTTTTCTCTTTCTTGCGCTCTCTTCAATGATGAGTCACCTTTAGTTTCTTTTAAAACTATTGTCTTATTTTAAAAACTGCCCTAATTTCCACAAGGAATCCCTGAGACATACTCAATACTATACAGTGAAAAGAACTGTCACTGTTGAGAGGAACTGATTCAACCCTTCCAGACAGACGGAGACAATGTCAACAAGTGTCCAACTTTCCATCATTTCAGCACTAATTCGTTGGAACCAACTGTACCTTAACGATGCAGGCTGGAGTCATTTCAGGGCAAATCAGTCTGTTCCCCAAGTAAAAGCAATGGTGTGGCATTTAGTTGCACTCGAGCCTTCTCCATTGCATGTTGAAAATTTTTCCAAGGGGAACTTTGGGTGCATATAGACCTTACTTCAGTGGTCCCCAGCTTAAAGAAACAAACAAATTAAAACAGGACAAGTGAAAAAAGAGGACTCCATTACTCTTCGGCCAAGATGAGCACAGATGAGGTGTGTGCACGTACATGTCTGTATTGGGGCCGGGGAGAGGCAAGTAGGCAGAAGGGGAGGAGAAAAGCTGTGCAGCCCAGCATGGTTTCCCACAAGTTAAGTTCTTCTCTCCTAAGAATGCTTTTCAGACTAAACTTGACATCACCAAAAACTCTGTCATTCAAACTAGCTGAATATTCGCAATATTCAGGGACACAGGTAAAGAAAGTCACACCAAATTTGTTCTCTCTCTCTCTCTCTGAAATGCTACATTTCCTTTTATTAGCTCTGTATAACAGACAGGAAAGGTAACTCAAAGTAAGAGCTGGAGTGAAAAAGGATTTTTGCTACTTAGAAATAAGGCTCCTTAAGTCTAACCCACAATCATAGCATCAAAGACACTGGTTATTAGAAAAGATGTTAACTATTCATGTGTTTTATGTTTTCTTCCCTAACTCGCTGGTCAGGTGAAAATGCTTAAGAGATACCTGAATACGTTCTTCACTGGCATTTTCTTACAAATCTCTTCAAAGATAGCATGTAAAATGTTACTTTTTTACCACTAAACATGATTTTGGTTCCCTCCAGAATGTCCTATAGGAAAGCCGTAAAAGTCAAGATATTAAGTAGTCATTACGTTGTTTTACTTTTTTGTACAATGAAGTTTCAGTATTTTCAACTTACTGGGGGGAGGGGGATGTTTTTTCATATCTACACACACACCCTATATATGTGTATATGTGTAGATATATAGTGTGTGTATATACTATGTTTATATATAATATAGATGTTTTATATATATATATATCCCCAGAAATGCATTTTTTTTGTCAGGAAAAATATCCTTGGAACAATGCAGGTATTGGCAATGAATGAGATACAGAGAATACTGTTTAGTATGACTAAATTTTCTTTCAAAGAATCCTCTAAATTGCCTCATTAAACTGGAGATTTTGTTGACCATGTAGTAGACTACTCTATTATTCCTCACTTACCAGATTAAGAACAGAATTTAATGGAATTTTAAGAGGCTCATAAGGATGAAGAAACTGAAAACAAAATATTGAAAACAGTTTTCCATGAATTTCAAATCTATTAAGTAGTGAGTTTAGTGTTAACAGCCTCATCTTTCTGCAATACCGATCCACAACCTTCTGAACCGACTTGGAGCAAAGGAAAGAGCCCCATGAGCACTGCCAATGAACTCTCTCAACCACTACTTCCTTGGTGACTCCAGGGCACAGGCAGGACAACAGATAGGGATCAGTGAACCCATAGCACAGCAGTGGCCTACACATGCTCACGTTCTAACGCCAATCTCCAAAAAACCGGATGGCACAGCTCGACAGCAATGTCAGCTCTTCCATGGACGAGCACCGCACTGGCAGGGCGCTGTGTGTCTCATAGAGATGGTTTCCTCCCTAGCCAAAGCACTGCCCTTGCTCCTGGGGACTGTGATCCTGGCTGAGAGTAAGCTCTGAGAAGGAAAAGCTGTAGTGTTGGTGACAGAAGATGATGACTCTTAATCTTTAGTTGAGAGACCAGGCTTATTTAAGAAATAAATCATAAATAAGTATTTGGCAAAGAGAAAGATTAACTTTCTTCAGCCTTAAGCCACTAATGACGGCAGCATTAATTTTTAATAACTTTAAAAAAATTTCCAGATTGACTTCCATACCTACTATTTGCTTCTCATTAAATTATTATCTTTTCACAGGGGGACACTAGACACACCACACCACCTTTCAACATGAAATTGCTCAGAAAGTCACTTACAAAGCAGTTATATCACACAGGGTAGGCTTACTGGAGAAAATAATCCTTGCTGTATAAGCTATGCCACAATAATTAGAAAATTCCTTCCATTGCATAGTCTGTCTCTTGGTCGGATAAGTGTACTTGATGCTTACTGTTGTCAATTGTTTTGTAGCTACACAACCTACCCCGATGTGCAAATCGCTAAGCTATTTTTACAGAAGAAAAAAAATGATGTCTTAAGTACTTTTATTAAAATAATATAAATAGCTATGTAGAGAGTGAGGGAAAGAAAGCCCATCTTCTCTTCAGATGCTATAGTTCAGAGCCAGGGATTATCACACATTAGATTGGAATTCAGATTCTCAGGGGACAGAATGCACCCATTACCTGCAGCAACTCTGTAAATGAACTCACAGTGACACAATCTAACTGGCCTTTAGAAATGGTCCCAGAGAACTGCAGAAACAGAGTGAGCCTTCTTTGCCACTGTTTCTCATACATTTAAACCTAGAATAAAAGCTAGTTTCCATCTAATTAGGACCTTACCCAAGATTTGTTTTTGATTCCAGTATTGCCTTATGAAAGCTTAAGTGCTATTTTAAAAGACCCTAATTTTCATATTTCTGGAATAAAAGACACTTCATTCCTTTCTTTATATATTAATAACAAACCTACTACTAATAGACTAGAATTGCTCCATTAGCTGGAAGAAAAACATAATGATATCTCTGGGCTTACAGATGTTCTTCTCTCTTCCAAAGAGGGCTCAAAAGAAACAAGAGCAAAGCACACAGCAAGCTTGGATATTTGATTTGAAGTAGATGAAATGAGCAGAGAAGTGTGTTTTTGCTGAGTCCTCAACTCTACACTGGTGCCTTCTAAGACCGCCCCTTCCTCAGCTATCACCCTGGGCATCTAAACAAAAATGAACTGAGTCAAAGTTTTTGGTGTGAAGCTGTAACTGGCAACATTCCTGATCATTTCATGCCTCCTTACTAGAAAGCAGAGAAGGGCTTTTAAATGCACATAAAACAGAAAATTGCAAACAATAAAATGTGCAACTTACTGCAAACTCAGTTTTCATAACTGAAGAATTTTAAGCAGCTAATAAGACGGACACATAGCCAGAAAAAGTTCCAATTGACTACCCACGACTCCCTTCACTGTCAAAGAAGGGCTGATGAGGCAGTCAATACGCAGCTCTGCCACAACCTTTAGTTAGTGCACAACGCAGACTACACCAAATAGCTGGTAAGGAACAGTTCTCTAGTGATGATTATAATGGGATGTGAAAATAGATCAGCAAACTAAATGACACTTTTGAGCAGAGGTCACTACTCTTAATCATTTCATTACAGTACATTAAAATAAAAAAGCTTACTAACATAAGTTTACAGGTGAGAAATATTCAAATTATCTGTTCTCACCATTCAGAATAGAAATTTATGGTGATACCAAATATAATTTTGCTTTGTGACATAATTTATAATTTAGAAATTTCTCAATCTGCAAAAAAGGCAAAGCTATTAAAAATAAATCTTCCAATCAATTATCATGATTTAAAAAAAAACTAAATATATTACAAACATATTTTTGGCCCCCCCCCCCAAAAAAAACTTTCAATAAATACAAAATAGGGCATATAATGATTATTTATACAGTTATGTGACATTTCCCCTCCATATCAGGCACATGGTATCTGCATAATGCCTGCTGATCACCATCATTCCTTTAAAAAGCAGAGAAAGAAAAGCTTTGAAAAGAAGGGACTGGTTAGAACTAGCATGGCATAGAGAATACATACAGGAAGTAGGAAAATACATCCAAATCTTTACCTATGAGAAAGGAATTAAAATCAAATATTCCCTGACAAATGAATTATTGTACCACATCATTAATAGATATGTCTCTCTACTATCCTTTAAAATATAGATATATATGTATGTAAATTAGACTAGACTCAGGTATAAATAGCCAATGGTATCTCAAAGGACAGTGAAACTTCTTAGCAAAAGCAGAATAGAGATGCCTTTAAAAGCTTTACCTTCTCTGGGGGAGGGGGGAAGGCAGGCAAGAAGAAACCTCACATATTCATTTCATAGTCACCAACTTGCTAAACTATCCAACATGATTTTAAACCTAAAATCGTGGTACTTTAAAAAAATTTCCCAAAACTATGTCCAAATTTGTTTAAACCTAAGTATTTAAATTATTTTAAAAGTACCAAAGGGTGGGTAAAATTTATGTCTAAATTCCATATTCTGTTTTGAAAGAAACTTTAAAATGTGCATCCTTCAGATATTACACACCACTTCACAACTGGTTCACTGATTCTACAAGTGTCTTCAACAGTTTACAGATCTCACCAAAGAATCACTACTGTAAACATGAAAAATTCAAAAGCAAAAAGTGGATCAAGGAGTTCACAGATTTCATCTCTCAAATCTATCTGACCTATCCTGCTTTTTCACATCAAAATATTTTCTTTAATTACATCTCACAAATGTATTTCATGACAGAGATTTAGAAACAAATGCATGTCTGAAGAGGCCAAGTGACCAGACCCCAGAACCTCTGCAGCCTGGCAGTCACTCCGGGCAAGCTTCTCCTGACACCCCACGCCGCCAACATAAATGCAGCCTTTTGTGGTCCATTTCTTCTTGGGCCAACTTTTAGCAGAAAAGAGTTGTGCTACTCACATGATCAGACTGCCACCTCCCTATTCAGGAAACTTCGGCTAACTGAGTGGGGAAAATGACTATCCTTATTAGGGTTGTGAGATGTAGGAAAGGAGGAAAGAGCCTTCCGGGGGGGGGGGGGGGGAGCAAACCAACAGGACAGCTGCATTCTGTACTGCACAAAAATACATGTGTGGGTGTATGCATACTCACAGCCAGTCAAAGATGACTTTTTCCTTTCCATTAAACACAATTGCGAATGGCAATGGCATCCCAGCCTCACTGCAGTGTTTAACAATTAGTGCTAAGTCACTGCCCTGACCTGCCTCCAGTACACACCACCTGCTACCTCTTACCCAGGAACTCAATCAATAGATCATTCTATCTCGAACCACCTACGTAAAAACCTGGCAATAGAATGGAAAGCACTGATCTGAATACTAGGAAATAGTAAAGGGCACTGGTTATCTGAGGTATCTTCCACTTCTAGGACTTGCTGCTGAAAATCACTCCTATCCAGTCACTGTGCTGAACCACTAGGAAAACCACCGGGACTGCGTGGACCTGCCAGGAGGGAATGAGCACCAGTGCTAAGGAGCACACGTGAACACTGAAGCAAGGTCCACCGCAGGGCCACCTGCTGAACTGGGAAAGGGGTGCCCCTCGAATCCCCACCTGGTATTTTTAAAATTTTCTTTAGGAAAAGGGGACACGGGTGCTAAGGAGGAAACAAAGAAAATGCCGGGTTCCCCACCTGCCTGCAAATGCACAGACACACTCAGTTAGGGGAGGGAAAAGAGGAAGATGCATTATTGGTACTTGTAGCTGTGGCACCTGTTACCGTGAAGCCTGTGGGAGGGGCTATCGAGCTGTGGCTGGGCTGCAGGTCTTTAGGAATGCCACTGTGAGAACTCAGCTGGTGGCCAAAGGCTGCGCTGAACTGAGGGAGTTGCTGCTTGGGAGAGGTGGAGGCCATTAGTTCAGCAGAAGGCCCCATGCCACTGAAGCTGGTCTGTGGCAACCCCGGAAGCACACTGGAGCTGCTGGGGGTTGCGGTGGCGAAGGCAGGCTGTGTGGTCTCTGAGTTCGAAGTGGTGGGTGGCGTGGATAGGGAAGTGGAAAGAAGATGTCCATCTGCGCCGAGAAGGTTGCTAAACGGAGAGGGATCTCCAAGGTTGACAGGGAGATTTCCCCAGTGAGTTCTGGGGTTTACCACTCCTCCAAGTGGCACCTCAAGTTGGGCTGGGAGCAAGTGCTGCGCCATGATGGGCATCTCTGCTGAAAAGGTAGCTGCCATATTATCACCAGAGTAGGATGTTGTATGGGGAGATGTGATATGGTCACTGTAGGGAGACGGCACGTGCTCACTATCATAATGGCTTCCATGGGGTGAGGAGTGTGAATGGTCACTGCTGTATTGCTGTCGTGAGGTGATCAGGTCATCTGCCTTGCTCAGCAGCTGGGCAGGATGTGGCCTCTGGGAGGCATGGCTGCCATCATGAAGTCCATGAAACTGTCCTGGGAAGGCTCTCTCCCCAAGTGCACTCTGGCTGATCAGAGTGGCAGAAGTAAGGCCAACGTTGGCTGGGGCAGAGAACTGCCCCTGGATCTGCCCTGCCAGGGGTGTAGGTGGGTTAGACAAGGTAGCAGAACGGAGCAGGTTCTCATCCAGCTCTAGACTAGAAAAATTATCATGTACTATACGCCCATTCAACAGCTCTCCTAGGTCCGTGTTGACTTCTCGGCTCAAGGACTGGATTCCCGAAGCTCCAGTACCTGTGGAGAACACCCCTATTCCTCTATCCGACAACTCCTGGACTCCAATGGTACTCAGGCACTCGAGAGAAGTTACAGCCTGCAAGGCCCGCTCAAGCTCCTCAGCTTCTTCGGTAGTCGGGAGGAGGTCTCCATTCTTTCCTGAGTCAACAAAAGCCATCAAGTCAGTAGAGCTTTGATCCATTCTATCCATTGCTATCACATATTTAGGTTATTTTTTAACAACAGTCTATTGGATATGAGTCCTTCTTGAAAAGAAAAGTTTCCAGCCGGCGCAGTGGCTCACTAGGCTAATCCTCCGCCTTGCGGTGCTAGCACACCGGGTTCTAGTCCCGGTCGGGGCGCCGGATTCTGTCCCAGTTGCCCCTCTTCCAGGCCAGCTCTCTGCTATGGCCCGGGAGTGCAGTGGAGGATGGCCCCAAGTACTTGGGCCCTGCACCCCATGGGAGACCAGGATAAGTACCTGGCTCCTGCCACCAGATCAGCGCGGTGCGCCGGCCACAGCGCGTCGGCCACAGCGCGCCGGCCGCGGCGGCCATTGGAGGGTGAACCAACGGCAAAGGAAGACCTTTCTCTCTGTCTCTCTCTCTCTCACTGTCCACTCTGCCTGTCAAAAAAAAAAAAAAAAAGTTTCCAAGAATTGAGTTGGGAAGGGAAAAGTAAAGACAGGTCTGAAATGTCAGCTGTTTTGATATTAAGCTGAATCACCACTTTCAATTTATTTATAACACTCTTCCAAAACTATTTTATCCAAGTATTAAATTCTTAGGAACTCTAAGGAGTACCAGTTTAAATTTGTGGTGACCATTGAATCATACAGGTTTCTACCTAAAATTATAGTAATGGCATTAAGATAGAAAGCATCAATTCAGATTTGAGACACAAGGCTGTGTAGAGTGGTCCACTTGGCCTTTTCTAGCCTAGACCCTACCCAGCTGCAGGGAACACCAACAAGCACAGTACAAAGCTCTCACTACACGCCCTGAGTTATCTGTCAAAATGCTTTTGCTTTATTCTCTAATCCTCTCCCCCTCAACCTTTTCTCATTTCCAACTACATTTCATAAAAAGGAAGACTTACTTGAATTTTATTTCCAATATATAAAAAAATCTACTTCTAAGAACTTGATTAAATCACTATGAGAGTATTCCATTTTTAATGGCAACAGCAACATTCTAAAAGTGTAACCAGGGAAATTACCTTGGAATTCTAAACTTCTGGAAAAGTGCATTTTAATTTCTATTCAGGATGGGGTATTTGAAGCAGGGCCAGTTCTAAAAGACTTCAGTAAACTCATATTTTAAATGTCTTTCTTCAAAAATAAACTCAAGTAAAATTATTCATTTTACAGGAATAGCTTGCCTAGCTAGCAAACTACGAATCTACTAAGTCCATAATACAGTCAAGCAAATTATATTTTACTTTCTGAAAAAGGTAAAATAGCTTTAGTGGTGTTATATTTTCCATTTATTTTCAAAGACTTCATATATAAAGAAAAACACATCTCAAAAAAACTCTGTCCCTTCTTATAAACTCATATTAAAAATCAGTTTCTTTGAATCAAAATATGATCATACCTTCAAAAAAATCAAAATCTTGTAAGTCGTCAGGTAGCCGCGGCAGGACATCTGAAAAGTCCTCCTGGTTCAATTCCAAGTCATGTGGAATGTCGGAGATCTCATTGGCAATGTCATCCGGCAACTCATCAGCACTCAGCTCTGGCGTGGATGGGCTCCTGGCAAAGATGACCACTTGTACCACTACAACCCTTACACCTTCACACCAATGCCACCAAGACAAGCTCATCCAAAATGAAAAGAGCCTAATGCCTTTTAGATTTTTAGATACTGGATGCAAACATGAGAAACACTAAGTGAAAATGTGTTTGTCCCTATCTTAAGGGGAGGAAATGTGAAGGCAGAGTCGCTGCAAAGCCAGACCCCAGCATGAGCATGCACATATCTGTACAACCCTTCCATTTACTAAGAGAAGACAATCATTACCAGACAGTATCTCTACTGCAAATCAGTAGAATGAATCACTTTGGTGGACTGAGTATATCTAATTCTTTTTAGGATTTCAAATCTGGTAAAAATAATTTTTAAAAAAGAAATAAACGGTGAAAATCTAAATGTTGAGCTGAAACAGAAGCCCCATTCATCCAGTTAAAATACTTAACCTTACCAAGATTAATAATACACCATATTTCTGATGGACTGTTTCTGTTGGAATATATATGTAATTTCTGTTCAAACAGAAAAATTTGAACTTAATTAAATTCTCAAATTTAGTATCTGCTTTATTTTAGATCTAACTCAGATACTAGCAAAATCTGTACCCCAATCTGTCAAAAGGCTGGACTGATTCACAGAATGGCTTCTGTAGCCCTAGTATCAATATCACGATAACCATGTGACACTTGATGTTCTGAGCACAATCAGAAAACACAAAGAAAAAGCAAATCCCAGTGTTGCCACTGACCGGATCTGAGAGGCCTCCACTGGCAGTGAGACGCTGGTGGGCATGCTGAGGTTCCCTTGGGGGACTGCAGGGGGAATGGGCTTTTGGGGTCGACGAGGTCCACGCCTTCTCTTCTTCTTGTGTTTTTTGGTAAGAGCAGGAGGCTTGGTTTTTTTCCTGGGTTTCCTCTGCTGCTGGTGCTGAACTTTACGGGAGTTATCACCTCTCAAGAAATTATCCTTTGGGATGAATAAATTGGTTTTTGGAAACCAAGATTACTGGGGGAAAATAATCTATTAAAAATACTTGTTATATTTCTTAATACTCTATGCAATTCCTAAAGCTACACATATGAATAACTTAAAAACAAATAATATTGACTTAATTCTCAAATTCAACACAAAGAGTTCATTCTGCATCTAAGGCCACTATACTAAGTGCCATACTACAAACAAACAAAAAAAAAAGAGAGAGAGAGACAATCTAATTTGTGCTCTCAAAGAACTTGCTTTCCTATGGGAAAAACATGCATGAGTGTATACATAGATACAGTACAAAAAAAAAATGGCAATGATGATAGAAACACCTCCTAGGGATTCACACAAGGAAAATTATTTTTAGTTTTGTGGAATTAAAGGGTAACTAAGACTATAAATGGCTGGCAGAAAGGTGAAGATCAACCTAGGCTAAAGGAAATGTCACAAACAAGAGAAAAGAAACAGCAAATAACTAGGTGTGATGGCTTAGGGTATAATAGGGGATGAAATACAAAAGTAAACTAAAGAAACTTGACACCGTAGCATGTATGACTTTGGAAATCCTGTTACACATTTTAAACTATATTTAAAAGGCAATGGGGTGGTCGGCGCCGTGGCTCACCAAGCTAATCCTCTGCCTTGCGGCACCGGCACACCGGGTTCTAGTCCCGGTCGGGGCGCTGGATTCTGTCCCGGTTGCCCCTCTTCCAGGCCAGCTCTCTGCTGTGGCCAGGGAGTGCAGTGGAGGATGGCCCAAGTGCTTGGGCCCTGCACCCCATGGGAGACCAGGATAAGTACCTGGCTCCTGCCTTTGGATCAGCGCAGTGTGCCGGCCGCAGCATGCTGGCGGCGGCGGCCATTGGAAGGTGAACCAACGGCAAAGGAAGACCTTTCTCTCTGTCTCTCTCTCTCTCACTGTCCACTCTGCATGTCAAAAAAAAAAAAAAAAAAAAAAAGGCAATGGGAATCACTTTTAATGAGAGGAAGAGCACAAATGAATGTTTTAAAATGATTAGCTTCCAGGTTAAGGTTACAAGGGGATAGATGGAGGAGGCAAGCAACAGAAGCAGTAGTTCCAAGCAAAGGCCTGTTCCAATAATCAACCCAAATAAATAGCTAAGCACAAGGGGAATAGGAATGTAAAACAAAGAGCCTTTGTAAATAGAATTCTCAAGACCTGACAGCTGCTGGGATATGGTGAGGATGAAGGGATTACAAAACTAAAATGTTTTCAGCATTTCTGGTTGAGCTGATTGTTAGATGACACATCATCAATAGGTTCAGAAGAGAAGTTAGGAATTCACTTTGTCTTACTTATGGTTTGAGAAATGCAGATGGCTAAGGAGGCAGAAGAAAGCATCCGGTGCACAGAAATAAAGGGCTAGAGATGTGGAGCTGGAAATCTACGACACAGAAAAGCCCCTCAAGTAATTTCCATGGGCCAGGGAGACAAGATAAAGAGAGAGGACAATAAGGGCACAGCTGTGTATACCTGCTGCAGGCAAAAGGAGAGAGAAGACACACAAGATGTGTCTATTATATGTCATAGACTGAAGGCTAGTGACCTCAAAATTCATGTATTAAACTCTAAACCCCTCAATGTGATGGTATTAGGAGGTGAGGCCTTCAGTAGGACAGTGGTGCCCTCATGAATGGGCTAGTGTCTTTATAAAAGAGGCCCCAGAGAGCGGGCTTTCTGTTACATAGGGATCTGAGGTTGGCAGGGTACCGCCTGGAGGAGGGTCCTCACCAAAACCCAACCATGCGGGCATCCTGCACTCAGATTCCACTCTCCAGAGCTGTGAGAAATAAACTCTGTTGTTTATAAATCATTCGGTCAACAGTATGCTGTTATAACAGCCCACACAGAAAAAGATACCATCTTTATCAATCCTAACATATACATTTTAATATCTCTGCAACAAGTTTACAATTGCTGGCATCTTATAAACGCTGTCAGCCAGGAGATTGTCATTACAGTGGAAATTGCCTACACATGCTCCAACCAGGCTACAGCTCTTTGTACTGGTATCATTCAAACTGAGGTATGTGCATTGTTGATGCTACATGTGGTGGAAAAATATTTGTGTATGCAGAAAGGCACAAAGAGCAGCAGGGTATAAAATTGATATTAGTGTATCAAATAGTTATTAATGAAGAACTGACTGTCATTACTCTTTTTTGCTAAGTAACAACAAAGTAAGAAAGGAAAATAACCCCAACATAGATGAAGTTATGTTATAGCTGATCAGGGTAGAAAACACTGCCTTTCACTTATCAAGTGACACAGAAATCTTTATGACTTTAAAGATAAAAATATCTCTCAAAGTCAATTTTAACAAAGTTTTTTTAATAAGCACAAAACTAAACCAATAAGAAAGCATTGCATCCTTAGTAACATTTTCCCTCCCTTAGTGATATATAAGGCTTGTTTTTGCAATTGATGCCATCTTTGACTCGATGCAATCAGTGATAAGGCTTGTAACTAGATACATCATCAGAAGCCTGTAGACAATATTTCAAGACCAATAACTATCACTAGCATCAAATAAAATAAAAATAAGAAAGAATAAATTCAGACAATCTAAAAGAACTTTAATACTACTAAAATACTTGAATGTAGACAAAAAATTGCAGATTGCATGAATTTATAAAACAAACAGGCTGCTTCCTGGAGCTGAAGCTCTTTTTGGCTCACCAGTTGAGGTCTATTTTTATTATGAAATTCAAGAAATAGTGAAGGAACAACTACTAGTATCCAACCTTGTGCTGAGCAACCATCTCAGGCTTTCCCTCAGCACCAGGGCAAAAATTAGAAAGGAAGAAGTTAGAGAGAGGTAGCCCCAGTACACAATACATCTCAGCTGTAAGACTCCCAGTGACTACCTGGTTCTGCTTTGAGGCTCCTGCATGATTCTTCTAGGTTGATGCCCTATAGCCCTGCAACACCCTTGGCCATATGCCAGGAACTGCCCATGGAACACATCCTGCCTTGTTCTCCTCAGTCTCTCACTTAGCCCCACCAGAGAGCTAGAACCCCCACTTCCTAGAGCAGGGGGTATGGAACCTTTATTGTGCCAAAGCCCATCATCAGCAGGCCATACAAGATGATCAACTTAAAAAGTTGCCTGCTACAGATTTATTGAATTCTGAGCCCTACCTGCAGTTGTCTTGGCACAGCCAGACCAAATGCCTTCAAAGGCTGGACTTCCTCACCCCTGCACTAGAGGCTTTCTCAGTGCCAAGTGCTCATTCTAGCTTTTAGTGAGTAGTGGAACCAGCATTCATCCCCAACTTCCTCGTCTCAGTCTACCTGTGTCAGGACAATGCACTTGCCAGCTAACCACCTGCTGGATGATCTCATTCCTGCTGAAACACCAAGTGCCACCTGCCAGCCTGCACTGCCCACAGTTTGAACCTCTTCTACCAACCACTGTCCCATCCTTGTGGGCCAACTCTGGCTCTGAATCTTAGCCTATCTTTGCCATGTGCCTAACCATTGATTTATTCAACAATTTCTTTCTGAGCATCTCTGTTCTAAGCAGCAATGAATAAAAAATGTTCCTGGTCTTGTGAAGTTTACAATCTATTACGAGAATACAGACAATAAACAAATAAGCAAATTAATAATGTAATGTTGTATTAATGATAGGAAGAAAAATAAGGTAGAATATGACGACAAAACTGACAGGGAGCAGGCAGTGGAAGACTTCTTTGGTGAGGTGACATTTCATCAGAGACCTGAATGAAATTACGGGGGGCTGGGGGGGGGGGTGGAGAAAGCCATGCAGAAACCTGGGAAAAGAGCATTTCAGGAAGACAGAGAAGCAAGGTCAGGAACCCTGAGGTGGGCGCATACTTAGTCTCCGGGCAGCATCAAAAGGGCAATGCTGCAGCAACTCCAGGGAGGGGAGGAAAGGGATATGAGATGAAGTGAGGAAGGTGCAGGGGCCAGAACAGAAAGGGCCTCGCAGACCATGAAAAGAATCCGAATTTGATCCTAGATGTGAGGGGAAGCCCGTAGAAGGTTTTTGATTGTGGGACTAAAATGATCAGATGTATATTCTAAAAGACCTGCTCTAAAGACTCTGGGATCCCATTTATATGACATTTTGAAAAAATGTAAAGCTATCGGGGCAAAACACAGATCAGGGGAGGAAGTGCAGGGGTAGCACGAAAGAATTCAGGGAAGTGACAGCATTTCTGGGTCTTGATTTATGGTGGTGGCTGTCCAGCTGTATGCATAAGTTTGAAAACCTCTGCTGCAGAAAACGAAATGCAAACTTACCATTTTTTTGGCATGTTCCTCACACAGAGGTGTCTGGTGTGTAATATCAAAAACTGGCACAGAACATTGCTGCCCGTCTGCAAACTTGGCTGTGCAACTTGAGAAGAGCTGCTGAGAGCGGTTCAAGAGGATATCTGGGTTTTGTTTTTAAGAATAAAATACAGTGAAATGGTCTAATTTTTCCATTTTCTATATAAAATTTGCTTCTTCTTTAATGATGTTCAATTAAATATGAATTTAAAAAAGCCAAAGAACTAACCCAACTATTGATATGGGAATATGATACTGTTTGCATTTATTGTCATCAGTCATCTGATGATATTTCTGGAAAAGTCTATTCTGCTAATCAGCTCCCAACACCAGCCTCCCTCACAGCCATTCTAAAGCAGATGGCTGTTGTTTCGAGGAGGATAATCAAATCCTTTATACCGTATTAATTCCTCGAAGTTCCACTATGATGGTTTAAGACTTCTACAAGGAAAACTTTCTGGGGTGCTGTTTGGCCTAGCAGTTAAGACACTCACATCCATATCAGGGTGCCAGGGTTCCACTCCCAGCTCCATTCCTGACTGTGATGCAGACCCTGAGAGGCAGTGAGGATGGCTCAAGGAGTTGGTTCCTGTCACCCACAAAGGAGACCTGGACTGATGTCCCAGCCCTGCTTTAACTGCCAGCCCAATGTGGGCATTTAGGGAGTGAACCAGCAGAAAGAACTCACATGGCCTCTTGCTCTCAATCCCTCACCCCTACTTCTCCATTAAAAATTAAAATAAAAATGAAAGAAAAACTTTCTGCTCATGGTAACTCATCACAGAGAACACAAATTGGGACCGGCATTGTGGCACAGCAGGAAAAGCTGCTGCCTGTGACGCCGGCATCCCATATGGGTGCTGGGTTGAGTCCCTGCTGCTCCACTTCCTGTCCAGCTTCCTGCTAATGTCCCGGGATAAGCAGCAAAATATGACCCAAGTGCTTGGACCCCTGCCACCCACGTGGGAGACCTGGAAGAAGCTCCTGGCTTTGGAAATGCCCAGGTCTGGCCAGTGTGGCCATTTAGGGGGTAAACCAGCAGATGGAAGATCTCTTTCTCTGTCTTTCCCTCTCTCTCTGTAACTGCCTTTCAAATAAATAATCTTTTTTTAAAAAGTAGAAATTTAAAGACATAATTATAAAATAATCTGTCCAAAGTTGAAAATTTCATTTCACTATTCTAATACTAAAATCAAACTTGCAACTTAAGAAATTAGTTTTAAATCCAAACTTTACTATTAAGTTTGCAATATCAGCTTTACATCATCATTTTCAAGCACTCATATATTTAGCCACTACATTTCCATAAAATTCCTTTCATATCTAGTTAAGAAATAGTTTTGTGTTTTTCTTTTACTGTTTATAATTAAGGCTATTTCATAAAGCCTTTATTATTACATAGGAACTACTACTGGAAGAGCTGTGAAAATACAACTCCAAAAAAAGGAAGGCAAAAATCAAACAAATAACGAGTAATTGTTACAATTTAAACTTTTTTAAATGCAACACAATTTAAATATTTAATGGAAGTGACAGTAATAAGACCTCATCACCAGCCTGAAGCTCCCCAGCACAGGTTTCCCTCAAGTTCACTGTTCTAACATGTCTTCCTTCCTCCTCAGTGATGTGTATTTCCTCTGATTAATTTCAAATCAACACTGTACTGGCTATAATAGTAAGTTAATTCTACAGTAAAAGGCATCTGTAGAACTGTGGAACTGTCTAGGGGCCAGCATGGTGGTGTAGTGGATAATGCCACTGCCTGCAGAGCTGGCATCCTGTATGGGTGTCATTTCAAGTCCTGGCTGCTCTTCTTATGATCTGGCTCTCTGCTATGGCCTGCGAAAGCAGTAGAAGATGGTCCAAGTCCTTGGGCCCCTGCACCCATGTGAGGAGGCGCAGAGGAAACTCCTGGCTCCTGGCTTCAAATTGGCCCAGCTCTGGCTATTGTGGTCATTTGGGGAGTGAACCAGGGGATAGAAGACTTTCTTTTTCTCTCTCTCTCTGCCTCTCTCTATAACTCTGCCTTTCAAATAAATAAATAAATATTTCATAAAAAAGAATTATATAACTGTCTTGGAACACTAAAATCAGTTTTAAAATAATGAGGTGTGATCTGCCATCAGTGAGTGTTATATATAAGCTGCTTCTTTCAAGCTTCCAGCAACCACCTGAAGAACCAGAATTCTATTAACAAAATATAACTGACAGCCATTGAAAGAACCTACTACTTCCTATCAATTCTGATTATTTTGTTGTGATTCTTGAATGAATAATCATGATGACATAAGAACGAAAAAATTACTCAGAGAACTTCATGAAAATTAGAAGTTAGATAAAAATCATTTTAAACATCAGTTACAATTTCAAAAGCCATTAACTTGTTTTGAAAATTAAGTACCCAGCCCCAGATGAACGAATACTTTTTTCAGGGCACTGTCAACGTAGTTAAAAGGATACGTTGGAAACAATGCCTGGTGAATGGCAGGGCTCTGTTAGTGCACTGTTCACCCTTTACCGTCCCACTGCATGCTGCTGCTTCCGCCTCCCTCATCTTGGTCCGGCTTATGCTAAGGAAGACAAAACCCAAAATAAATTTTTAAAAAATGCTTAAGAATTCAGGGTCAATTTTCAACATTATGCTACTACTCTGTAACTCCCACATTTTTCCTATTTATAGTATCTATAGTCATTAAATAAAATGCAATTATGAGTCAAAAAAAAGCAAGTATTATTACAATTACCAATTGTGTTATTTCTCCAAGCTATGACATTCAAAGCAAATTAGTTAGTTCAGAATAGGTTTCAACTATGTCTATTCCTGTTTTTATTTTTCAAGTGATATTTTGGTTTCCTTTTAATCAAAGAAACAAAGAGGCAAAAAAGTGATGAAGAACATTAGATGGGAATCAGACAATCTGGATCTGAACGTGTTCCACGTGTGACCTTGGGCAAGTTACTTAGCCTCACGTATCACCTGTAAAATGCAGACAAGGGTCTTCCCACTGGCAGTGCTGTTTTAGGCATGGGAAAATCTAATATATCTATAAACCACTTACACACAATCTACACTATGACACATGGTGCACAGTAACTGTTGGTCACTGCTTGTGCTGCTGGACAGTAAATCTGCAAGAAACCCGATCTTGAGGAGGACACAGACATGCAGAAATGGCCACGTTCCTCTCATCCACCAAAATGTATTTATCTCGGAGATTTTTTTTTAACCTTTAGAAACTTTCTATTACATGTGCAATTCTATCTTTCATTATTTAAATACAATCTCTACTTTGTACATCACATAAAATACTTTAACTCATTTTTAAATTTCACAAATACACAATGCATTCATGTGGTTCAAAAAAGAAACTAAGGACAGAAAGCAAGGCAGTGATGAATCTCCTTCTTGCCCTTGTCCCTGATTAGCCAGGCCCCACTCCTGCCATAATACATACCCATTTCATTTGTTTGCAGATCCTCCCATCTTGAACACTTAATAACATTTAAATTTTGCGAGTACAAAACACTCCCACCTATGAGACTCCATAAAGTATCACCAACTATTTGACATTTATACATGTTGTTTAGTATGGGAAAATCATGAGCTAGGAATAAAAATAAATCTTTTGGCTGGCGCTGCGGCTCACTAGGCTAATCCTCTACCTTGCGGCGCCGGCACACTGGGTTCTAGTCCCAGTCAGGGCGCTGGATTCTGTCCCGGTTGCCCCTCTTCCAGGCCAGCTCTCTGCTGTGGCCAGGGAGTGCAGTGGAGGATGGCCCAAGTGCTTGGGCCCTGCACCCCATGGGAGACCAGGAGAAGTACCTGGCTCCTGCCATCGGATCAGCGCGGTGCGCCGGCCGCAGCGGCCATTGGAGAGTGAACCAACGGCAAAGGAAGACCTTTCTCTCTGTCTCTCTGTCTCACTATCCACTCTCCCTTCAAAAAAAAAAAAAATCTTTTGAGTTGTTTCCTAGTATCTTTCTAAGGGTTTCAATGGAATTACTTATACTAATTACATAAAGTCATACAGAAACTAAATTCCATGTGAATTTACATAAAATCTAAACAAAATACTTCTGTTCTGATTACCACTCTCAGAGATAGTAAATGCAAACAGACACCCAAGTGCAGCCACAGCACTTGCTTTAATTAAGAGCTCTGCAAGACTTGTCAGGATCCCAAGTGGAGAAGTGGGCCACTGCAGAGCTCAACAGTGTACCCCTGAGAGTCTCTACAATACCCCATAAAGGGTGTCTACACTATTAACTCTCACACTGTAAAAAGGATACACAACTCCCAATAAATAAAACTTCACTATTTTGGCAGCTAAACTTTAATTCTTTTGGTCTAGATTTCCACACTGAGGGGGTAATTTTCAATTAACAATTTAGTAATTTCCTCAGTCATCTACCAAGCCTAGTGCACAACACATTCCCTCATTTTCTTTATTTTAGACCTCCAAAGAAATCACTGGTTTCAATTTTTTAAAAAAATCTTATAGTCCAACTTATCAATTTATCTCTTAAAAATAAATTCAAAGGCAGAATTCAATATCCTCATAGACAAAAAACGCTTAATATGAAGTTAGATATATTGATTATCTAAATAATTCCTCAAAGCAAAAAAAATGACTAAAACTTTCTAATGTTGTTGGAAATTGAAAAAAGTCTAGGTTTTCTTTGCACTTTCCTTTCGCACTCCCTATAGTATCCTCCATAAACAATAACGTTTCCATAAACACCAGTCAGTGTGGGAGTGTGGGTTCTGTAATATGTAAATTTGATTTTAATCGGTTATTCCACTTACCAATAAATTTGACCAAGTTACCAGATAAGAAGAAGGAATACTTTAACATTATTCAGATATAGTTTGAAATATCTTAAAGGATATATATCAAAAGTTAGCAACTTTGGTTTTAATTTCTAAAACATTTAATTAAATGCCTTTTGTGGAACTAGAGCTGTTAACAAAAATACCAAACAGAGGGTATTATAGAACAGCTATCTTTTGTGACCCTAAAATACAATGTACGGTAATGAACTACAATCATGATTGTGATGCATGGTCGTACAATTATCAATGACGTAGTATGCAGTAAACTTTACATTAATCATTGTTGACATAATCAAATGACATCAAATCAATGAAAACTTTAGAATAGAGTCCATCTTGGTGCTCTATTTTTACATTTTATGACATTTAGTTATCATTAATTTCTTTCATTAAGCATCACTAAAACTGGCTTGGGAAATGTTCTGAAAACAACAAATTTAGATTCACCGATAGTTTTCCACATAAATACCAAATTACCCAAAACTCATAGTTTAGACACATCTTTGATAAGATCATAATATACTAGACTCAAAGTATATAATGTTTACATACAAATTGCCACATGCTGTATAAACCTACAATTTTTACTGAAACTTTCTTTTAAATTTACATTTTTATTTATTTATTTGAGAGGTAGAGTTACAGAGAGAGGGAGAGACAGAGAGAAAGGTCTTCCATCTGCTGGTTCACCCCCAAAATGGCCACAATGGACCAAGCTGGGTTGATCCAAAGCCAAGAGCCAGGAGCTTCTTCTGGGTCTCCCATGTGGGTGCAGGGGCCCAAGGACTTGGGCTATCTTCTTCTGCTTCCCCAGGCCATAGCAGAGACCTGGACCCGCAGAGGAGTAGCCAGGACTAGAACCGGCACCTATATGGGATGCTGGCACTGGAGGTGGAGCCTTAACCTAGTATGCCATAGCGTTGGTCACTCTACTGAAATTCTATACTTGAAAGCATTATAGGTGCCAGCTTTGTGCCATAGTGGATGAAGCTGCCACCTGCGAATTTGTCATCTTATATGGGCAATGTTCGAGTCCCAGCTGCTCCACTTCCAATCCAGCTCCCTGCTAATGGCCTTGAAAAAGCAGCAAAAGATGGCTCAAGTGCTTGGGCCCGTACCACCCAAGTGGGAGACCTGAAAGAATTTCCTGGTTCCTGCCTTCAAGCCTGGCCCAACTCCAGCTGTTGTGGCCATCTGGGGAGTGAATCAAAGGATGGAAGATCTATCTCTCCTTCTCTCTCCAACTCTACATTTCAAATAAATAAATAAATCTTTAAATAAAAAAAAAAAGTATAGAAAAACAACAACAACAAAAAACAAGTGGAGACAAATTCCTTAAAAACAGGTGGCTTCGGCTGGCTCTAACCTGGTTCGACTGCATGCAGCTCTCCGCAGTTCTTGTATGAGCTGCCCAGTGCACTCTGGTTCCTTACTGGCTGCCTGCAGCAAAGCCTTCCTGAATGTATGCCGGCATTTCTTTTGACGAGATTCTGCCCGCTCCAGGCGGCAGAGGTGCTTGTATTTCTGCTGAAAGTAAGTGCAAAGTTGGGTCACCCTGGAGCTCCTACTCTCCGTATCATCGTCATCTGACCTAGAAGGCAGACAGAAGTGAAAAAACGATTAGGCTCATTTCAGAAAAGGGAAAAGACAAATAAAATAGGGTGTTGGATGCATGAGTTTAAAAACTTTGTCTCTGAGACAGGTGTTTGGCACAGTGATCCCATATCTTATATCAGAATGCCTGGGCACAAGTCACCAACTTCCTGCTAATGAGCAGCATCAGAGACAGCAAGACACAAGTACTTGGGTCCCAGCCACCCAGGTGGGAAACCTGGATTGCATTACGGGGTGTGCTTTAGCTTGGCCTAGCCCTGGCTGTTGCAGGCATTTGGGTAGAACCAGTAAGTGGGAGATCTTGGTCTCCCTCTCTCTCTGCCTTTCAAATAAATAAAACTTTTATCTTACATGATCACATACTTAACAAAATTAGAGTAATAGAATTCCCATACAGCTGAAAATAAGCAAAATATTTCAACAATTAGCAAGATTGTAGGAACAGCCAATGTTTTAAGAAGCTTAACCTTCTTGATATGCCAGCATTAGACACAACGCATCAGTGCCTTCTTTTTGTCTTTTTTTTTTTTTTTTTTGACAGGCAGAGTGGACAGTGAGAGAGAGAGAGACAGAGAGAAAGGTCTTCCTTTGCCGTTGGTTCACCCTCCAATGGCCGCCGCGGCCAGCACGCTGCAGCCGGTGCATTGCGCTGATCCGAAGCCAGGAGCCAGGTGCTTCTCCTGGTCTCCCTGGGTGCAGGGCCCAAGCACTTGGGCCATCCTCCACTGCACTCCTGGGCCATAGCAGAGAGCTGGCCTGGAAGAGGGGCAACCGGGACAGAATCCGGCGCCCCGACCGGGATTAGAACCCGGTGTGCTGGCGCCACAAGGCGGAGGATTAGCCTATTGAGCCACGACGCTGGCTATCAGTGCCTTTTACACGTTAAGTGACTAGAGATTGTTGGGTAAAAAATAATCATTCCTTTTCTTTTACTTACTAGAAAGTCTGTGTAAAGGGCATGGTAGTTATGAGGAAACATGCAGCACAATTTCGCCCCGGATACAGGACATACCACAGATACAGCAGTAGATTCTAGCAGTACATTATCCAACAGCTGCCCTATTAGACATTCTGGTTTTGAACTACTGTTTTCTCGCAACATTTAAAGAATTTTGATTGTGGAAGTCACATTAATCTAAGGTATTTTTAAAAGTACAACCAGAGAGGTCTCATAAGCAGCATTTCATAGACGAGAGACTACACAGTTTTCCCATCATGTGCTGATGTGATGGACCACTGGTCCCTGCCACGTGGAATGGGTGCTGAGGACATAGCCATGCCACACTGCTGTGGTTAGTTAGCTATATCCAGCATCAGCGAGAGTAAAAAGGTCATTTTTCTATGAAACAATGTGGTCTCTCTCTACTGTTAGAAATAATACACAATAGACATGAAAACTGGTCAGTGTTATTTCATCTTCTTCCTCTTCTATCGTAAAATAAGTAAATTCCACACATGCACACCATAGACTTTGTACTACCTTTTTATTTTATTATTATTTTTATTTGAAAGTCAGAGTTATACAGAAGGAGAGGAGGAGAGGAGGAAGAAAGGGAGGGAGGGAGGGAGAGAGGCAGCAGCTTTATCTGCTACACCACAGTGCCGGCCCCTATCTACTACCTTATTAGTCATGTGTAAATCGTTGCTTGATCTCTCCTCTTTGCTTCAATGGCATTATACCACTTTCTTTCAGAATAGCTGGTACCAGGCTACTTTATAAACTTCTGTTAGCATCTCTCCTAAGAGACATATCTTCTCTTCTCTTCAGCACATTTTCTCTAAATGAAGATCTTACTTCAATCTCTTATCCAAAGTGCCTGGTCCAATTCCCAGCTACTCTGCTTCCAAACCAGATTCCTGCTAATGGGCTCCTTGGGAGGCAGAAAGTGATGGCTCAAGTACTTGAATCCCCTGTTACCCATGTGGAAGACTAAGTTCCAGACTCATGGTTTTGTCCTGGTTCAGCCCATTCCTGGTTGCCGTGGTATCTGGGAAGTGACACAGTGAATGGAAGATCTCTCTCAATCTGTCTCTTTCTCTCCCTGCCTTTCAAATAAAATTAAATCAATAAATTTTTAAAAAATATTTATTCATTCATTTGAAAGTCAGAGTTACAGAGAAGCAGAGGCAGAGAGAGACAGAGGTCTTCCATCCACTGGTTCCTCCCCAAATAACCGCAACAGCCAGAGCTGTGCCAATCTGAAGCCAGGAGCTTCTTCCAGGTCTCCCACATGAGTACAGGGGCCCAAGCACTTGGGCCATCTTCTACTGCTTTCCCAAGCCCAGAGAGCTGGATCAGAAGTGGAGCAGCCGGGAGTTAAACTAGTATCCATATGGGATGCTAGCACTGCAGCCTTTACCTGCTATACCACAGCACCGGCCCCAAGAATACAATTTTTTTTAAAAAGCTTGTATTCAATAAATTTCATAGGCACAGCTTTTGGATTATAGCAGTTCTTCTCCCCATACCCACCCTTCCAGCCCCACTCCCGTCCTACCCCCTATTCTCTCTCCCATCTGATCCCATTCTTCATTAAGACACGAATACAATTTTTTAAAAATTGCATGCACATACTCTGTTCAAAGACACAAATAAGGTTGAAAGCAATGGAAAAGAGAGTAGCTATACTAATATCAGACAAAATGTATTTTCAAAACAGAGATGTCTCAGAGATAAAGATGGGTATTCTATGATAAAAGCATCATTACAAAAGGAAATGTAGTACACACATGTGTAATAGCCCAAAATACATGCAGCAAAAACTAAGTGAACAGAAGAGAAAAATAAGACAATTCAACAATTCAACAACAATTGGATACTTCCATATCCTACTTGCAATAATGGATAGAACAACAAAATATAACCAAGGGGAACAGAATCAAACAACACCACAAACCAACCCAGTCCTAACAGACATCTAAAACACCACCAACAGAATATGCATTCTTCTCCAGTGCAACATCAAACATTCATTTAGTCAGCATTCACACTGTGTGCCTATTATGCTGAGCACTAAAGAGAGGCCCATATTTCACGGAATTTACAATGCAATGTACATAAAATAACACATCCTAAATGTTAAACAATTCACAGGAAGATAAATGAATAACTAAAACTATTGAGGGAGGGGAACACCACTTGGGACTCCTGCATCCCATATTAGAGCACGTGTGTCCCAGTACTGCTTCTGCTCCCCATGCAGGTTTCTGCTAAAGCACATCCTGGGAAGGCAGGAGGTGATGGCTCAAGTACTTGTGTCCTTGCTATTCATATGGGAGATCCAGACTGAGTGCCTGCTGCTGGCTTTGGCCTGGCCCAGCCCTAGCTCCAGCCCCAGCCCTAGCTCCAGCCCCAGCCCTAGCTCCAGCCCCAGCCCCAGCCCCAGCCCCAGCCCCAGCCCCAGCCCCAGCCCCAGCCGATGTCCTGGATCATAAAGCAAGTCTCAATAAATTTGAAAGACTAAAATTACACAAAGTACATCCTCCACAAAAGACTAAACGTATGACTGCATTTATAAAAAGTGTCCAGAATTGATAGCTAAATCTATAGAGACAGAAAATACATTAGTGGCTGTGTTATTCCAAGAAATCTGGGTCTTCATCCTTGGCTCATGTCGCCTAACTCCCTTATCAAGGCAAGGCCACAGAAACTAAAATTTCTTTTCCCCAAGGTGGGTCACAGGAACTCTAACCCTCCCCTGCCTTTCTGTCTTGTAGCTGGCCATAAAGAAATTCTCTAATCTACTTTTGCCACAAATTCACAGACCCTCTGCATTCCCAAGGGGCTGTGCCAGACACCCTGGAGGGAGGAATGCTGCACAGACAGGGCAACAAGAATGCTGAATCTGACAGAACTCGCTGGGATTCCTCATCCAGGCTATATGCACTGGATCACACCCTTTCTGTCCAATCACACTTCAACACAGTTGTCCAGGCTTCAATCATGCCCATGCAATGAAGTCTCCATAAAGACTAAAAAGGATAATGTTCAGAGAGCTTCCAGATAGCTGAACACATGCAAGCTCCTGGAAGGTGGTGAAACCAGGAATAGAAATGGAAACTCCGAGTCCTTCTCCCATACCTCACCCCATGCATCTCTTCATCTGTACCCTTTGTAATAAACCACAAAGGAAATTAAGAAATATTTTGAGTAAGTGCAAAAAAGATACAGATACCATAACTTACTGATGAAGCTTTGAGAGAAATTTATAGCTATATTTATCTATGTTTAAAAAGAAGAAAGATGTCAAATCAGTAAGTTAACTTTCCACTTCAAGAGGAGAAAACTAAACCCAAAACAAGTAGAATAGAAGACATAATAAAGAATAGGGAATAAATAAATGAAAAGAGAGTGACAGAGAATATAAAAAAAAAACGGTAATATGCTGGTCCTTTAAAATGTTCAACAAAACTAGTAACCCCTTCAATTAGAAAAAGTCATAAATTACCAAAATTAAGAATCAAAGAATAGATGTAATCTATAGTATATCATAAAGGGAATAAAAAGATTAACAGGGAATACTATAAAAATCTTTATTCTAATATACTAGAAAATAAAGAATAAACAGACAAGTTCTAAGTGTGACAGAAGCATCTGAATCTGACTCAAGAAGAAACAGAAAATAGTTACTTTTACTTTCAAATTTTTCAATGTATTTATTTATCTGAAAAGCAGAGAGATCTCTCAGCTGATGGTTTACTCCCCAAATGCCCACAACAACTGGGGCTGCGCCAGGTCGAAGCCAGGAGCTGAGAACTCAATCCAGGTTCCCCATGTAGGTGGCAGGGACCCAACTACTTGAGCCTTCACTTGCTGCTTCCCAGGGTACACATTATCAGGAAGCAGCAATTGGGAACAAAAACAGGACTCATATCCAGGCACCCAAATATAGGATGCAGGCATCTTGCTCACGAGTCTGTACCACAAAGTGGCTATTATGCATGCCCATAAAATAAAACCTCAGGTATTTTCTTTTT